CGAAAAAAACTCATTTTCGAACGGGGCCTTTGCTCCTACCAGAACGATCTACGGAGAACAAGGTCAATATTTTGACATCTTCAGAATGGCCTGGAATTTTGCATGTGAGTCATTATGCCACTCCCACACGGAATCCAATAAGTGATCGTATTTCAAAATGAAGAGCACGTTGCGTCACGTCCGGTCAGTGTTTTCGATTTTTGAACATAAAAAATTATAGAAAATTCATTAAGTGGCAAAAAGCCACGAAACTTGTCATGCATCCTAGTCATGATGATACAACACTATGGAAAAAATTGAGTATATTTGAAGGATGTCGAAAAAAGTCATTTTTGAACGGGGCCTTTGCTCCTACCAGAACGGTCTACGGAGAACGAAAAAAATGAATCAAAAACGCCCAACCATTCCTGCAGGCCGGTACAGAGCATAATCGGTCCGGCCTGATCAAGCCAAAGGCGAAAGGGCTGGCCTTTCGGCCGAAGTACGGCCTGCAGGGCGGTCACAGGGGGTAGTGGCGGCACAGGGCGGGATTCTAAGGCTTTCGAAAGGGGCATGGGAGGCAGGTATATAAGGCGGTCGCGGCGCCGTTCGGCGAGCGAGGTGGGACTAAACTCTAGACGTGACCCCCGCCGAACCTGCACCGCTCTGCCGAACAATTAATGGGCCGGCCCATGCGCGCCGTCGCGCACAGTTATTGGGCCGGGGACCGCGCGCTGTCGCCGGTTTGTTATTATTTGTTTCAAAATAGTACAAGATTAATAATATTTATGTAATCTTTATTATTTACTTTGTAAGTAAGAATAATAAGTGGTTTATTATAATTTATAGGTAAAAATAATGAATTATTTAAAAATAATTAATTATGACTTTTTCGTTACTGGCTACCATTTTTCACTTTATTAAAAAATTATAGTGAGCTAGTTGCTATATTAAAAGCACTACCTAATGTAAAATGTATTTATAATATATTAAGTAGATATATTAAAAATACTACTTAATATCTAATTTACTAAGTAGTTATATTAAAAATACTACTTAATATCTAAACCATCGCGCGCCTTTCTGGCCACTGTAGGCGAACTTTTTTGCTACTTATTAGCTTTTTGGCCACTGTAGGCCAACTTTTGCGTGCGCGTGTGAGTGACCCCAACCGGCTCGCACGCCTATTTTCGACGGAATCAGAGTACGAACGGAACTTGCGTCACGTCGGGAGACCTTTTCTGGTTATTTCCACAGAGAAAATCATAGAAAATGCATCGAGTGTCGAAACACACTCCAATTTTGCAGGCGTGCTTGTGTGGCATACTGTTGCGTGTGAAAAAAAATGGCGACGTTTCATGGCTTTGTGAGAGGGAACACCTACTTCATGCATGTCACCCCAGACCGACACCTCAGGTTTGTACTGTGACTATGTGCAAACATGGACGAAACACACCCAACTTCTGTG